ACACACACACAGTCCCACAGCAGCCCCCCAGTGCCTGGAGACACTCATGGGGTCCCCCACAAGGTCCCTCCGGCTGTGGGGTCCCACCAGTGCTGTCCCCCCTGTGCCAGCCCGATTTGGGGAGTCCATCCAGGCAGGGGGTCAGTCTCACGTTTTTGGGACCCAGTGGCACCCACCGTGGGGTGGAGGGTGGTGCTGGGTCTGGGTGCCCCGATAACAGACCGTGGCCTTATCTGGGTGCTGCCAAGGGCTCCCCTCCCTGCACAGCCATGGGGATTTTGGGGGTCCCTCCCCCCCATGCGCCCCACTGCCCCCCAGATGAGTATTGTGGGCTGGGGTCCTCTGGACAGGGGAAAAGGGGGGTGTGAGCACCCTGTGGGGCACAGACAAGGGGGATTTGTCCCCACAGGGGGTGTCTCCCCGCAGTGGCCATGGGGGTTTTGGGGGTCCCACCTCCCACGGGCGTGCTGCTGCCCCCCTAGCTGGGTGCTAAGGGCTGGGGTCACCTTGGCAGGGGCAGAGGTGGGTTTGAACCCCCCTGGGGGCACAGAGAGGAGGGTTTTGTTCCCGTGGAGGGTGTCTGTCTGCTGCAGGTGACCCAGATTTATCTGGGTGCTGTGGGGCTCTGTGGGTGCCTGTGGGATTCACCCCCCTTTCCCGATTTCCCTGTCACATCAATGGGGAAACTGAGGCACGGTGCAAAATGGGGGTGCAGGGGTCCCCCTGCATACAGTCACACCCCTCCCCCCCCGTGGAGGGGGTCCCTCGCCCCCCGCAGACCCCTCAGGGAGGGGTGACACTCAGACCCTCCAAAACGGGGATCAGGGCAGGGAGGGGGGTGCCGAGCTCAGCCTGGGGTGGGCAAAGAACCCCCCAAAAGCCCCAGGGGGCTGCCCCCTCCCCATGGTTTTCCCCAGGGTGTCCCCACCACTGGCACGTCATGTCGGGGGGGTGGGGGGGTGGGCTGCGACCCTCAGGCAGGTGGAGGACTGCTGCCCCCCCTTTATGCTCCCCCCTCCCCCCGGGGGAGAGATTTGGGGGGCCGGGGGCGGGGAGAGCATCCCTTTGGAAGGAGGGGGGGGCGGCGCACGGCCCGTGGCGTGGGCACCGGCGGAGCAAAGCCTGCGCGGCGCGGGGGGCAGCGGCCGTGGGGCGGGGGGGTCCCCGCGGCGGGGAAGGGGCATCGCCCGCGGCCGCGGCGTCTGGGCCGCTGGATGGAAGCGAGCTGGGTGCCGGCTGCCATGGCTCTGGGGCTCTCCTCCAAGAAAGCTTCCTCCAGGAACATCGCCGTGGAGAGGAAAAACCTCATCACCGTCTGCAGGTGGGGGGGGGCACCCCGAAATGGGGAGGGGAAGGGAGAGCGGCGGGGGGAGGGAGAAGGGACCACCGCCGGTGGGGATGGAGGAGATGGGGGGCGGGGAGGGGAGGGGGTGGGGAGGAGGGTTGGGGGGTTCGTTCCCCCCCCTCCCTCCCTCAGCCGCCCCTTCACCCTTTGGGGGGGGTTGTTGTTGCTGCAGTCGCTTTATTTTGGGGGGGGGTAATTGAGATTGGGAGGGGGGGGGAACGAACCCCCCAACCCTCCTCCCCACCCCCTCCCCTCCCCGCCCCCCCTCTCCTCCATCCCCCCCGGCGGGGGTCCCTTCTCCCTCCCCCCCCCCCTCTCCCCTCCCCCCCCCCCCCCTCCTCCCACCCCCCCCGGGGGGGGCCCTTTTCCCCCCCCCCCCCCCCCCCCCCCCCCCCCTCACCTTCCCCCCCCCCCCCCTACA